CCTGTAATCGATTTTCCAGATTTCGTCGTTCTGACCGGTCGACCGACTTGGGCACTGCGGTCGACCGCGTCGCGGATCCGGGCCTGGGTCTGTTTCCTGCTCCAGTTGGGATTTCTGTTTAGTATAAATAGAAACACGACTTTTCTAGGGTTGAGAACTGAGTTTGTAATCAGAAAAGAGATCAGGGAGGTTGTTCTTTGATCTAGAGAGATTGTGAGAGAGAGATTTGTAAAATCCAATTGATTCTCATAATCTAGAGAAGGTATTTTCCTTCGCCCTAATTCAACTCTTGTGTTCTTCTGTCGTTCTTCTTCTTTACCCACTCTTGATAATTCCGCGATCAAGAGTGCTCGCACGGCAACTCGTATCAATATCCCCGATATAGTTGATATTTTAGCCTATATTTTGGCTAATATGCCCTTTTATATGGCTTGTCATAAACCAATATACTAATTTTCACAATTTTGTAGTGACATATCACGATTTTCTAATATATCATGTGAAATTTGGCCTCAAAAAATCAGACAAAACGTTGCCATGTCGAGTTAGTTGTTTATTTGTTTTTAAAGGTTGATTAGTGATCCTAAATATAGATTATTTGCATTTTTGTATGCTTAGATTTTATTATGTTTAGATTACATTTTTGAACATTACATTATATATTCACATCATCCAATATAGCACACCTATATTTACCAAATAGCCTCAATATTTTCCCTATATTCGTAGTCTAATGTGAACTTTGGTCATCCGATATTTCCCTATATTTGATATTTAAAATCTTAGACATATGTCAAATTGATACATGTTGGGAGCGATTTTAGCACCACTATAACATCTTCCATACTTGTGAGACACATATGCTTGTACGAGATTGTACTCTACCAAAGAGATATGCTAGTGGTGTTGCCTAACCGAGTCACATCAAAAGATGTGACCTCACCACATTTATCTCCTCATAGCTTATTCTCTTGGATGGGATAGAAACTCACATCCTCTAACTAATATTATATATGTAATGTTTGCCTCCATGCATGTTGTCGGATCTTTATATTTTACTTCTTAAGGATTTGACATGTAGCTGTCATATTTTATCCATATCTTTGGTTCGACCGTATGATGTTTGGCGTATAACAAAATATGACTTGACATTTATCCTAGATCAGCTTGATTAAGTTTCCCATTGTGAATCAACAAAAAAATAAAAAAAGAGTTATGGTGTAAAAAATATTTTTGGTAAATCAAAGAAGAATTTAGAGAAAATTCTCGAGCTTCACATACGTCCCATCCAATATATAATGTGAATTATGTTAATCCATTCTCAAGCTATAAGCATTCGGTTGCTGTTATAAGAAAGAAGAGCATTTGACAAGTTCATGCTTTCGAACAAAGACCTGTTGAACAAAAAGCTACCATATCTAATATGCTTTGGTGCATGCTACAATAGCCTCAATGATAAGTGAAAGTAGATGACATGCTCTAATTGATTAATTTTATCTTTATCATTAATGAACATTGACTACTTAAGATAAGTCGCATGAAATCTTATTACTTAATTCTAAAAGGGGAGAGAATCTCATATTATGGTAACATGCCTTCTACGTCAATCAAATTATGGTAACATGTCTTAGATATCCATCAAAAGTTTATATATAGGACTAATTATATAACCTAATGTTTCACCACCTTTCAAATGAATATTATTAAAGTATTTTTTTAACAAAAAAATATCCCAAATTTTGTCAGAGAAAGATAAACTTAACAAAGTTATAACAACTATTTTACCCTTTCACATACTTTCTACCGACCCCTTTTAGTCGCGACTCTCACGAGATTCTACCATAAATCGCTAATTTTTTCTTCTTTTCTCGCCATCTCAACGCCTCCCATATTTCTACCATTACCCCCAAATTTTTATTTTTTTTCCTTTTAATGATATTTGACTTAAGTACTAAAATCTATTGATTCTTCCTATATTTATAGATTTAAATTAACTCGATTTTTTGAATATGGATATAGTTAAATTAGTTAGTTATTGGAAATTGTATTGAAAAGTAGAAGAAAAATCTTGATCTTTAAGGAACTCTCGATGATGTTTTAAGAAATTCTTAATTAATATCCCAACACTACCAACTAAATGTTTGTGACGATGTTTTAAGAAATTGTTTCAATGGGAAATTAGCAGGAAAACATTGATATTCAATTCTAATGAAGTTTGACATATTAATCTACCAATTATTTTTAAAGATATGTCTTTGAAAAAGTGGCAAAGCTTTAGGATATTTTGGATGGTGACTTTTTAAACGTGTAGTTATCATAACTAAAATAGTAACTCTTTTTGTCAACCAAAAAACTTTGTCATTATATATTACATGATTTTATTTCGATGACTTTTTTATACTCTCCAACCATTAACACACACCTTCTAGCGCAATTGTAAACATCCCATTCCATAGGTGTGTTAGTGCTCTAAGAACAAACGGAAGAAGAAAACTTAGTTCTAAAAAAACTGTTGAGAGAGAACATGCCAATGTTGAGCAAGTATAAACATGGACTTTATCAAGAAAGGAATCAAGGAACAATTGAAAGTATTATTAGTTGCCTTAAACAAATTATATATGCAAAGAGGATATAATTGGAATGATCGGTAGCATTTATTAGGTATGTGCAAATATGATAGGCTTGGAATATTTCTCCATGAATTAGCATGAAATGTATGGTCTAAATGTTTTCTTCTTCATGCTATTGCTTCAAATTAGATATGTTATTAGAGCATGCTTAAGTTAGAAACCCTCTTCTTTCTTTCTAAAATTGGAAGCCTCTAAGGGCTTGCACATTTTACCCCTTGGTGGTTGCATCAAGGACTAATCACATTAATCAATAAATTTTTCTCTACATCATCTTCAAGAGTTTTACTAGTCTTCTCTTGTGACTACACTTATAATGTGTCCGTCATTGACATTATTGATGGTCTCCTCTCTTTAACATTTGTGTCTTCGTTGACGCAGCGCAGAAGTAGTAGCCTCGGAATTCACCAAGGACAATCTTCGAATCCACGAAGTAAATATTAAAGAAAAACAAAATTTTTATTTATCAAAAGTTATGCTTCTAGGGCTTACAAGACCCTACATAAATAGAAAAGAAACAAGACTTTTACAAGGACTCAAACTCCTACAAGGACTCTAACTTACCAAAAATAGTAAAAGAATTCATAAAACATTAAAACTCCTAAAAAGACTCCTTACGACTAGAAAAGTCCACCGGTCAAATCTGAGATCAAATCGGCTTTGTTTTCTAATCAAAACAGACTCCTAAAGTATTACTAAAAATAGTAAAAACGAACAAAAATACAAATATCTCTCAAACCGTAAAAAATTTGATGAAATAGAGGAAGCAAACTGAACCCTTAGGGGTAGGTTTGGATGACTCTGTCTTGTCGAGATAGTCAATTTCATATATACTTCGTCCAATTCCGACGTACGGTTTGAAAGTTACGGCCGTTTCTTTGAAACAAGTTATTTTCTTCGACCATGCCCGCATTTGGGCTTGCGACTATCCCACTTTGACATAAACGTGTGTACCGTGTGTTCTACATCATTCGTTCACACCTCAACGTTAGTATTTATTGCTTCTCCATTACGAGATCCTTGTCTTGTCTTCTAATTTATGTCGAGCTACTTTTATACGTCAATGTCACATGGAAATGTTATCATAACATCCATGTTGACTTTGTTTGTGGCTTTTTGTCTTAGATCTTGTTGTCTTCCTTCATACCTCGAAGTAGTGTTCTATGATTCTCCATAACAAAATTATGCTCTTATCTACTAATATCCAATCTAGCTATTTCTCAATGTCAATATTATTTGAAGAAGTCTGTTATCTGGTTGCTCTGGCTTTCTCTCTTAGCTAGTTTTTCATGATGATACTCCACTCTCACCTTTTTCTTTTTGTCAAGCCGCTTGTTGACATTTGTAATTTATAAGAACATCCATTTATGTCCTATTTGGGTGCCATGGGTAAGCCGCTTGTTGACATTTGTAATTTATAAGAACATCCATTTATGTCCTATTTGGGTGCCATGGGTATCTCTCATGTCTGGTTGTTTTGCGATATTATAAGAACATCCATTTATGTCCTATTTGGGTGCCATGGGTATCTCTCATGTCTGGTTGTTTTGCGATAAGGTTTTTCAATCGCGTTCCGATCTTCTGTAGAGCTCCTTCTCAATGTCGCTGTGAGAATATGCATTCATAGAAAGATGGAGTTTGTTCCTACTGAGGGTAAAATAAGATAGAATCAACTGAGATGGTCTGCCAGTGCACAACGTAGGCTAGTAAATGCAAAAATTAAGATGAAGGATAAGGTTATAAATAATTCAGTGAGTAGCAACCTCATGATTGAAAAGCTTATAGTACTCTGCATGTCCTAGACATGGCTAGAAACTGAACATCCATTGCAAGTAAGTTAGAGCCCTAACATCTTATATAAACCAAAGGCGCCTCCTCCAGAAGAACAATAGATCCTTACCAAAAAATGCTACCAAAATAGGAAACTATATACTATAAGGGGTTGTTTGGTCTGTTGATTGCATCTTTGATTGCATCCTAGGGATTTTGAAAGGTACACATTCAAAACCTTATTTGTTTACAATGAATAGGAAAGAGGATTTGCATGAGAGATAAAATTCAACTAGACTTTATTTGGTTGCACATGAATTTTGTTGAAGATATGTAGATTAAAATCACAAATCAGATTGAAATCACAAATCAAATTGAATGCCGACTTTCAATACACAATGCTTTAAAAATGTCAATCGTGACCAATCATTAGATTTATGAGTAAAAGTTCTCCGAAGAAAGCACAGAAACAATCATAACACATCAAATTAATAAACACCAGCCCACAGCAGGAGCAACAAATGATTGCGAGAAGTAATTAACATCGTTGAACTCAATACAAGGGACCGTAGCCCGTCAAGTCAAGAAAGTATGCAAAATTACCAGATCCCCCTGGATGCTCAAGATATAGTTCGGACTCCAGTTCCCTCAAATTCATTTGCCATATCGCCTCTACAACATAGATAGAAAAAGAACAGAAATTAGCATCTATTATGCAGACAGTCAACAATACTCTAATACTAGACACTAAGCTATATGAGGCTAAAATTTCCAAATGAAAAGAAAAAAACAAAAAAAAGGTACATCCGAATGATATAATCCATGAAATTACTTGATTGCAAAGACAATAATTACGTCAACATGAAGGAGAAAATAACCATATAGCTACTTTAGGTACTACAAGTGCTCACATGCACGGAAAAAAAAAGTAAAATTAATTTTCTCAAATTGGCAGTAGATAGAATGAAAGAACATTGAACCATAAGAGCAAGAGGACTCTGGGATAATGAGGGTGGAATCAGATTCTAAATGAAGGGAAATAAATAAATAAAATAGATAAAAAAACCAAACATTCCAAAATCAATCCAAAGCTGGTTGCTTTAATTAAAATATATCAAATTTAAAAACAAAAAACTACAAAAGAAAAGGAAAAACAAATAATCACATTCGAGCAATTACAGTCACAAATTCAGGAATATGCCAAACCTGGCAACAGTTAAACAGATATATATACTACAGTAGATCAAGCGAAAGTAGTATTAATTAATAAACCCGAAGTTGTTTCAATGACCTTCATTAGTCTCGATTGAAATGGACGACGACCCCTCGTTCATGACCGCCACCGTAGCCGCCCCGTCGATCGCCGCCGTCGCCGTAGCCTACGACAGCGCTCTTATTTTGTCGCAACTGCAGGTATGAGCATAGCAAGAGAAAATAAAAGAGAGGAGAGAGAGCGAGGAGAAACGGAGAGAGCAGAAGAAAAAGCCCACGACCTTTATAAAGACGGGAGATTTGAAGCGAGCCTTTTTTATCTTTTTCGCTTTGCAACTTAGTACTTGGCTAAAATAAGAGAATAGAGGAGGTGTTATATGAAAACTCTCGAGAAAAATATGCAACCGCCTTGACTTGACATTCGAAATTTCCGTGTCTTCTTCAGCAGCAATTAATGTCGTGTGGCCCGGTTGCCACTAGTCAAGGATCTATCCACATGAGGCACACGTGAGGAGTAAGTTATATTTTTCTTGCTTTTCTACTTTTGTGTTGGTCAGTAATGATTAAAGTAGGGGTGGAATCGAATCGAATTTGAACGGTTCAAATTCGAGTTCGGTTTATATGATGTTATTCATGTTCGTATTCGAATTCGAATCGAATAGTAATACAAATTCGAATTCGCTTCGTTTATTTATATCGATGTTCGGAAAAAAAATTCACGAATATTCATTTAGCATTACACTAAAACTTCGATTTCGAACTATTCGTCAAACATTTGATATATGTTTGCTAATTATTGTAGGGCATTGGTAACTTTTACCGGTGGGCGTCGTCGCGGGGAGGGACAAGTTCATCGTCGGAGAGGGAGGACGTGCGGTGCGTCGTAGGGGGAAGCGAGGCGTAGGAGAGGGAGGAGCCAGTGCTGTCGGAGAGGAAGAGGGCAATCGTGCGCGTGGGAAGGAGGACAACGTCGGTGGGGGAGGGGGATGGCGTTGTTGGAGGGAGGATGGGCGTCAGAGAGATAGAAGCACAGGTCCTCGGAGAGGGAGGAGGGTGTCGTCGCGTGGAGGGAGGACGGCGTCGTCGGCAGGGATGGAGGAAACCCTAGGTGAGAGAGAGAGAGAGAGAAATATGTATTTGGTTGGAGACAGAAAGTGGAAACTCAGTGATGGTGAAAACCCTAGGTCCCTCTTAACATGTCTATTTATACATGGGGAAGAAGTTACAATAAAAATTTTGATGGGTAATATTATCAACAAGTTCAATTAGTAGGATTAACATATAAAAAGTTATCGAATAGTTAATATTTTGCCGAATCGACTTCTGTAATTGAATTTTTTTTTTAAAACACGTTAGTGATCATAATTTTATATAAGGGATATTTGTCCCTCAAATATTTAATAGTTCCATTTTAGTCCCTCAAATCTTAATTAATTGCTCATTGGTCCCCCAAACCCTAACGGGTCTTGTAATTTGGTCTTGAATGGCCAAAGTACCCCTTTGTTATGATTTTTCATTCAAAACCCATATATAGATAGATATTAGAAATATACCCATGATATCCTTGAGAGAAAGTAGAGGAACTATATCATGTTGGAGAATAATGTGTGGCGTTGAGTAAACAAGCCTAATATGTTTCTTCGCGCGCTTGACTAGTATTTCATTGATGTGTTACGCATCTTGTGAGGCTCTCGAACCTCTGTTGATCCTTGATGAACTGTTCCTAGCCATAGTTACCCTGAATACTTGAAGAAGAGAGAACGAGGGAGAGAACTGAGAGATTTAGGAAGAATTAAGGAAGAAGATGAACGAAGATTAAAGTGAGAGGAAACAGAATTCTTTTCATAGATTGCAATGATTTTACAACACTCTATTTATACAGCGTAATTCCCTCTCAAAAGAAACACTCAAAAGGAAAGTGCACTGTTTGTGCACGTGCACCAGTCTAACAAACAAAACAGAATTGTAACAACAAAACAGAAAATAACTGTTTCAGCTGAGCTGGACTTGAAACAGTTATTGGCCTGCTGAGCTGGACTCTATTTTGCAGATAGCTCCCCAATTTCCAAGAGGTTTGCAAATCAGACCTTCCTTTGTATATCAGTCCATTCGCCTCTGTGCATTGCTCCTTGATCAGACTGTCAGACTGTTCATTGCTTCCTTGACACAGAATCAACATTAATTCCTAACAAATTCCCTCCCCTTAAATTGGACCTTGTCTCAAGGTCAAAGGTAGGAAATCTCTTGACCAAATCCCAATAAGACTCCCATGTGGAATCCAATTCTGTGCGTTGCTTCCATTTGATTAAAACCTGAGAAATTAAATGGTTACCCCTGACAATAGATCTCCTGTCTAAGATTGCCTCTGGCTCATCAACTATCTCCTCCACATATGTAGGAAAATCAACTTGAAGGACAATGTCAGACCCAATTCTTCGTTTCAACTGAGAAACATGGAAAACAGGATGGATCTTAGCTTGAGCTGGAAGGGCAAGTCTGTAGGCTACTTCACCAATTTTCTCTAAGATTTGATATGGGCCATAATACTTAGGAGAAAGCTTATGAGGTTTGTGTGAAGAGACACTAATTTGTCTGTATGGCTGAAGTTTAAGGAAGACCCATTCACCAATATTAAAGCTTCTATGACTCCTGTGTACATCAGCAAATTTCTTCATTTTCTCAGCTGCACTCTTCAAGCTTTCTTTCAAAAATGTCAGGATGATGTCTCTAGAAAATAAGGCCTCATCAACTGCTTGCACCTTACAGCTTTTAGGAATGTAAGAGAGCAAGGAGGGAGGGGGTCTTCCGTATACTGCCTCAAATGGAGTGGTTTGAGTAGATACCTTCCAAGTAGTGTTGTACCAAAATTCTGCTAAAGGCAGCCATTGACACCATTCCTTAGGCTTGTGACAACAAAAACACCGCAGATAACCCTCCAAACTCTTGTTTGTTATTTCACTCTGCCCGTCAGTTTGAGGATGGTAGGCAGAGCTGAACTTGAGCTGGCTACCCTGCAGTTTAAACAGCTCTCTCCAAAAAGAACTAGTAAACAAAGGATCTCTATCACTTACTATAGACTTAGGTATACCATGAAGCTTGAAAACCCCATCAAAGAAAACCTTAGCTACTGATTGAGCAGTATAAGGGTGTGTAAGTGCAAAAAAATGAGCATACTTTGTGAGTCTATCAACCACTACCAAAATAGCAGATTTGTCACCACTTTTAGGCAAACTAGTAATAAAATCCATTGACAGATCCTCCCATATATAGTCTGGCACAGGTAAAGGCTGCAGGAGACCAGGAGAAGCAACATTCTCCCCTTTAGCCCTTTGACAAATATCACAAGCTTGAACATATCTCTGGACATCCTTCCTCATCCCCTTCCAGTAAAAAGACCTCCTGAGCCTATGTAATGTTCTGGTAATCCCAGAATGACCTGCAGAAGGGCTAGCATGGTGCTCTTCCAGTAATGAGGCCTTAATGTGTGTAGCAATATAGCTGATAAGGATTTTGCCCTTATAATAATACACCCCATTCTTCGTACAATAATCCTCAACTGGTAATTGTCCTTGTTGTACTTTGTCATCAAGTTCTTTGAAGAAAGGATCTGTGGAACACATTAGCTTAATTTCTTCAAGCCAATCATTATGGACAGTGGAAATTGCTGAGAGACCCATGGTTTCCTGGGTAGCTTTTTCTTCATCTTCATAGATTCTGGACAAGCCATCAGCAGCTCTATTCAACCTACCAGGTTTGTATTCTACAACATAATCATACCCATGTAACTTGGCCAACCATTTGTTCTGGATGCCTGTATGTATCCTTTGCTCTAGTAAGTACTTAAGACTTTGGTGGTCAGTTCTAATAACAAAACTCCTTCCTAGTAAATATTCTTGCCACCTCTTAGTTGACAGGATAATTGCCAGCAATTCTTTTTCATAAGTTGATAGAGCAACATTCCTTCCCTTTAGAGCATAGCTAAAATAAGCTATTGGTCTCTCTGCTTGCATCAATACTGCCCCAATTCCAGAATCAGAAGCATCACACTCAATAATGAAGTTCACACTGAAATCAGGCATTGCTAAGACTGGGGGTTGAGTTAGTGCATGCTTCAAAGATGTGAAGGCCTCTTCAGCAACTGGTGTCCATTTATAGGCCCCCTTCTTCAATAGGTTAGTCAGGGGTTGGGCTATCATTCCAAATCCCTTGATAAACTTTCTATAATAACCAGCTAGACCTAGGAAACCTCTTAACCCCTTCAGTGTCTTAGGTGCAGGCCACTCAATAATAGCCTTAATTTTGAGAGGATCAACCCCAACTCCTTCCTGTGACACAATGTGCCCCAAATACTCCACTTGTCTCTTGCCAAAGCTGCATTTTGACATTTTTGCCACCAACTTGTGAGCTTCCATGATCTCAAACACCTGCCTCAAATGAATCAGATGATCTTGCCACTGCTTGCTATAGACCAGTATGTCATCAAAAAAGACCAATATGGATTTCCTGAGCAGATTTTTGAATATATTATTCATAAGAGCCTGAAAAGTTGAGGGAGCATTTGTTAGACCAAATGGCATCACTAAAAATTCAAAGTGTCCATGATGTGTCCTGAAGGCAGTCTTTGGTATGTCCAGCTCATACATTCTGATCTGGTGATAACCATATTTTAGGTCCAGCTTAGTAAAGAACTTGGTTCCATGAAGTTCATCAAGTAGTTCATCAATGACAGGAATGGGAAACTTATCCTTGACGGTGGATTTATTGAGAGACCTGTAGTCAATGCACATTCTCCAACTACCATCTGACTTCTTTACCATAACAACTGGAGATGAGAAAGGACTGTGACTTGGTCTAATAATACCTTTATGGAGCATTTCCTCAATTTGTTTTTCAATTTCCTCCTTCAAGAGATGTGCATGTCTGTAGGGTCTGATACATATAGGTTTGGTGCCCTCCTCTAATGGAATTTTGTGATCTATCTTTCTGCTAGGAGGGAGATGAGGAAGCTCCTGAAATATTATCTCAAATTCTTTAATCAAATTGTGCATATCCTCAGGTAACTCCTCTTGACCTACTTGTTTTGGTGATTCTTGCAAATTCACACTACACAACTGAAGGAAATAGCCTTCCTCCTGTTCCCTGAGATT